TTTGACGATCGTTTGGATCGGCATATAATAGGAAAGTTGTTGTTCTTCTTGATATGTGACGTCTTCAGTTATGCCGGATTCCAACTGCTCTTGGAGTACTTGTTCACATTTCTACTGAATTTCGTTGTTGTGTTATAAGTTGTGGACAATTGAACAGAGGCATCGAAAGCAGAGAGGATAGTTGTTGGAGAATGTCTGCCTTCTTTCCATGGCCAGTGAACGTAGTATCTGCCGTCGTTGAATGTGATGTCTTCTCGGAATTTGTGCATCGCGACATCGTCATCGGTGGTGATAGGATTCTGAGTGACACCAATGAGTTCTAGTTTCCGGAATTGTTCTATTGGATCGTCTGATATCGATGTCATCACTGTCATCGATATCAGACGATCCAATAGAACAATTTTGTGAGTTGACGGACGGTTGCTTGTTGATTGGCATGGTTTCGCCTTTGCCACTTAATACTCTCCCTAAATGGGTTTGGAAGAGAGTGAAACCAGATGGAAGCTGCTTCGCGGATGAGAAGTCCATTTGATTCATCTGATCTATACAGTCAAGACTGAAGCTGGTGCTCTTTGCATCCGGAGTGGAATTGTATTGCTTTGCACAGGTAGTCTCGATGGTCTGCTCAGAGTAAGTAGTCAGTGCGTGAGTTTTGAAACGACGAGTGCATTGGTCGGTTATCTCCGGAGAGTTGGACTTCAACGATATCAGTTTGAGCATTCTGAATCGCGGTTTTTGTTGTCATAATAGTAACTTTACTTGCAGGTTTGACCGTTTATTGCACATGTAAAGGACGCGCGAGCGATAACGGCAACGTTCACATCTAGATACAAACGAATCGTGATGAAGCGCGTAACGACCAGTCCAATATGGAGTTGAAACCAATGGCGTCGAGCTCAAGAAGCGGTCATTACAGCATATTTTCACCGCCTATCCCGATCGTAAAGAAAAATTTGTGGTTCCTGTACAATTTCCGCGGTCGGGAGTGTCGTGAATTATGCTATCCACGATAGAAATGATGTCATTTATTTATAATCATTCTTATGAATACGCTTCTCGTTCATCCTTCGTCTATAGTTGACTTGAACCTGTGTTGCCAATTACCCTGTTCGTTGATATTCCCCAATATCGACTAAATTGCTTCACTCAGTGAGCCTCAAGCCGGTCGTTTGGTCAATCGTCAACTTATCATTTATTCATTCGACAGTTTCCCTCCTCAACAAAACAACTCACGTTCTCTTCTCTTCCCCACGTTTTCGTTCAGAAAACCAAATCTTACCTCGCAGTCCCGTCACAGTTACTTCTCATTACCTTATTAATATCCTCATAACTTTCATCAGTTATCATCACCTTCGTTCTGCTTTTATTTAGTTATTCTAACTCACATTTGCTAATAAATTAACCTAACGTAGTAAATAGTGGCACACACAACGTACCACTAAACAAAACGCATTTAGAAACACGCAGTACAATAATATCATTAACCACCCGTGTTGCCATTTTCACAAATTCAGTATCGTGTACTGTATTCAATCTTAAATCATTCACAAAATCTC